AAGGATAAGGTGAACATTTTCAGAAGGGGATAGCCCAGGGCGTCAGCACAAAACCTGAGCACACAGCCAGGAATTCCGTCGGGACCTGGCGAATAAACTGGCTTGACCCGACGAAGATCTAAAAGGAGAGAGCTTTCGTTTAGGCTAGGACAGAAAATTAAGTTTGATTGGGGTATGTCGTAGGAATAAGTATGGTGTAAACACGAAGAGTTTGAATAAGTTGTTTGAAAAAACTGCGAAAATAGATCGGCTATTGCCTGATCATTATTTGCGGTAGTATTTTCAAATGAACGCGAGGAGGGATTTGTTTTAGGTTAACAAAATTATAAAACTCTTTTGGGTTCGATGAGAACTGGGCCCTACAACGAGTAAAATAGTTTTTATAACACTGCTGATAAATAAGATGAAAGGGCAGATTGAGAACCGGTGATTTTAAATTTAGCATACAGTCTAGTTTTTTTAGTCTTAAGTCGGCTCCACTCTTTAGTAAACCACGGCGGTTTATTCAAGCTTGGCGGATAGTATAATGAAACAGACTCAGTAAAAAACGAATTCATGGCATTGTAAAAAATATCCACGGCAACTGCCATGTCATTGCAAATGTGTAACTCGTATATAAAATTGTTTAGCCGTTTAAAGACCGTCTTGCGAAAACATAGGACTTTTTTGGCTGGATGGTTAGAAAGATTCTGTACGTCACACAATATCAAGAGTCACATCGAAAGTTGGATGATGAGGATCTTCGGGCTGCGTCAGAGGCTTGCTAAACTGACTCTCGCAGGTTCTGAGGCAAAATATAGATCGAGTAAGCGGTGCTAGTAATTTCGAACATGGTTGACTTGAGACAGCGAACTGTCAACATTCAACATCGTTGCATTCCTCGAAGTTTAATAATTCTGACGTGAGTGGGGAGTCCACCGCTATAAGAACTCCACCCCCGCGTCTGATATGGCGATCTAGCCGATATACTGTGAACACAGCTGGAAAAACTTCGGAGCTCAGAATCTCCGGCTTTAACCAGTTTTCTGTGAGCACAATAACCTGAGACGCAAACGAAAGGCTATCAGAATACAAGTTAGGAAACTTACTACGTAAGCCTCTTGCATTCTGATAGGAAATACCTACGGAGTAGGTTAGTTTTTTGGGTAGGGATATGAAGACGTAGAAGGCGCAGTGGTATAATCAGGCCTGGGAAGAGTTATTCCTACAGGCCGCTTTTTCATTTTCTTCGCTTCGAACTCCTTAACAACAACGTACTCTGGCCAAAAGTTGGGAGAGCAAAGAGCTTGTTAAAGAGCTTGTTAGGGACATTTATTTTGAAGGATGAAATATCCCTATCGTAAGAAAATTTAAACTTTTCCACCTTTATCTTTATTTATCGGCTCTGGTGTTGCCTTGTATAAAGGCGTGAACATCTTCCGATGTTTGATCAGGGGAGAGCCGCGAGACAAAAACACCCTGGCCAGATATATCATTATACACGGGACTTTGAGGGGTCAATATTTGCGACCCCCCAGGGGACAAAACAGAAATCACCGGCGGTACGGGCACTCCCTCTGCACATTCGGGCACCGAATGGTCGAGGTGAAGTCGATGGCTATGCCGAGGGAGGCTGCTGCTGAGGGTCCGCTGCGGGTAGTTTTGGTCCGTCTACATGCTGCCCACCAATAGCATTTTTTGCGCCTCGTAAACTCATTTAATAGCGTAAGGCTATTAAATTCGGATTCCAGAGCAAACTCGTTAAAATGCCCTTAAAACGGGTTTTCTTTTGCCGCATGAAAGACATCATCTATCTTTCTACATCGCGACAGGCCTCGCAGCAGTAACGCAGCCCGATGTTTTTTTACATCGTCCACCGGTCGAGCTGCAACACTTGGCGTGCATGACGTTGTCGTACAGCCAAAAGCCGATTGTAAGGTAACCTGCAGAAATAGCCTTTTTGCAGGTCTCGGCGAAGCAGACAATATTTTCGGACATTATTAAAACTTACCACTATACTTGTACTTGAGAAAAAGAGAGAAAAAATTACAACAGTGCTATAAAGACGAGAAGTGAAGGGTCACAGCGAGAGCGAGAGAGTGGGAGAACCTGGGAGATAAATAGCAAAAACGTTTGGCTGTTTCGACGGCGCGAACAAAAGCTAAACGAAGAACGCACAAAAAGTAACGCAAAACATGCAAAAGCTAGTACTAGCAGCACAACTAAATTGGGAAATAAAACCAATTATAAACACAAATCAGAATAACTGCATGAACACGCGAAATGAACGGGAAGTTTTTGACACAAAGTAGAAAATTTAAGTTAGCCCCGGTGGTTATTTTCAAACTTTAAAGAAAAATAAACGTTCGTTCACTTGGAAAGATGATTGATTAATAATAAATAAACTTAATTTAATACACAAATAATAATAACAGAATGCACACGCGAAATGTACGAGAAGTTATTGAACCCAAAATAGAAAAAATTAAAAATACAGTGGTTTATAAAAGTTAAACAAAGATCAAGAGCGCAAGGAAAAAACACGTCCATTCACTTAGAAATTTGACAGATAGCAAAGCCAAAGACGGTTATATAACCAACACTAATAACAATTTATTGACTCCAGTATATAAATTATATATTTTTATTTTTCTTTTCATAGTTATAGTTTTTGTTCTTTCTATTTGGTTTTAAATAATAATAATTTCCGATTTAGTTCATTTTAGCTTATATTTGGTTTCATTGTCTTTATTTATTTTATTTAATTTGTCGTTGTTTAAACTTTGCAGTTTGATCTCATCAACTAACTTAATATCATGGTAAAAACTTTTTGATAATAAAACGCAATAGGAAAATAGCTTTCTACTCGGTTGGTAGGCCACACCTTGTATCGATCGTGGCAGATGTTGTTCTACCTAGATCAGCGCACGCTTCTTGTCCCGGCTCGGGCTCGTTGGCTAATGGGTGGTATTCTTGCCTTCCTAGATGTTGCCTATCTCACAGTTAAATGCGTCCTACGACGAGATAGGATAGATAACCAAACAAACACATACACTGAGTCAAAAACTGGTAAACACACTTGCGGGTCAGTTAGCTCGCTTCTGATGGAGTTGAAGCGGCTTGCCCTCCCTTCCGTGGCCATCACATCCTAAATACCATTTGATGAAACCTTCTGAGTCCTGATCAAGGCATCCCTAAGGAAGGTTAGCTAGCTGAAGACAAATTGAAAACTGCTGTTTACCTCTTTACAAAAATTTATTCCTTACGATCTAAAACTGACATCTATGAAATTCAAAATTCTATTATTAAACTTAAACTCCTTATTAAACATTCTCCATAAAACGTATATCAAAACTTAAACTTTTTAGCAATTGAGCGACAATGATGGTGTTTTAAACGTGAAGCGATATAAATATAAAAAAATGTATCTTCTGTAAACATTCGCATTTGTAGTAGAGATCAAAAGCTTAGGGGACAGATCGAGACTCACAAAGAGTTGTGAATTTAGAGAAATTAGGTTTCAATTTTAGGCTTTTAAATTTTTTTTCCTTTCTTAATTTAAGCTTGCATTCTTGGTTTTTTCTTTTATACGGAACTGGGACTCAAATTCTAGGTGGGCTTTATAGGCGCCTTTGGGCCGTTAGACTATCCATCACACTTACTAACTCACCCAGTAATTATTGAAGAAAGCGCTTTCCTGCGTAGAGATGCTGATGAGGAGGCTGTAAAGAAAAATTTTACTCCTATCCTACCGAAAATTTGGCCCTCTTCCTGAATACTTAAATTTAGTTAGACAATGTTAATAAAAATTCTTTGGTGATCTGCCAATAACTGTTTCCTGACGCTTTTTGACATTGGATCTCAGAAATGACTATGTAGCAAAATAAAAAAGGGTGAATTGAAAATTAAATGGCGATCGTGCCTGCCCCCTCTTCTTTCAGGCCAATTCGGACGGGGGTCTTTCCCTACTTTTGAACATGTATATATAATAACTGCATTATTGCGGGAAATGAGGCATTATTTTTGGCCGTCGATTTACATTTTGCCGGAAGGCTGATTAAATTTGGCCGGAGAATAAAAAAAATGGAAAAGCTAGCACTGCTCGAAGCTGGCAGAACACGGAAACATATAAAGTGCAATAGAAATTCTAATGGTTACTCCACTGCCGTTTTCTTAGTTAGTCCCGATGGCGAGGGGGGGGGGGTGAAGTTATCGCTCCTCCTTCTCCTTCCGACGCCGGTCTCCCGCGCTTGGAAGAATACCGCTTCTTCGTCTTCCCTGCTATGGGCTTAGCTTCTTCTGCTGCCCTCTCGGCTAAGCGTTTTTTCTGCTGCCCAATTTAGCGAAGAAAACTTAAAGCTGCCAATATTCCAAATTTCAATATTCCTAGTACCGTGCTTATTTCAAATCCTCTCGCTTTCCAAAAGGTTTATTTTTTTTTCTCTTTCCTGATCTTCCTGAGTGTCAATAACAATTTTAGAGTTTGCCTCCTGCAGCATCCAACTGCTCGGTTGCGAGGTCAGAACGGTAAGCACCAGCCCGCTATACCCTCAAGCGAGAAGGAGCCGATCGACCCTCCCGAAAATAGCAGTTCTTCGGGTGAAAGGCGAAACCTTGGCCCTGTTAAACTTTCTTAAAATTCAAAACGCTTCGCAACCCTCATATGCCTACCACCAGGGGTCGCTTAACAACTCACATACTGACTCCTAGATTACGCCACTTATATTCGTATCCAAGCGTTACAACCTATGCTCGCTCTTGATCAGAAATAATAATGAATACGAAACAGAAAAATGAATTTAACGTGGGAGATATTACAGATACATAACCTTTTTATTGTACATTTATATTTAATATTTTTATCAAAAATTTTAAGCATTAAACTAACTATTTTACATGATTTTCAGTGCTTCGTTTACCTACCTACTCCTGACATTAGAAATAATAAAAATTAGAATATAAAATGTTGTCAATTTTAAATTTAAGAGTAAATGTATATTTGATTTATTATATATTTTAAGATAAAGTTTCCTCAATTAAGAGATTCGGGAATATACGAATGCCAAGTATCAACCACACCACCAGTTGGGTACACCATGATATTTTCAGTTGTAGGTAAGTCGTTTATTTCAGATTAAAAATCATATTAATATTTTTTGTTGTTAATCTGACCTTCAGTATAGCAATTAACTGCGAACGACCAATGGTACGGGAGCTTTTGAAAAAACTAACTTTACACTTTCCGTTCCATGCGGCACTAACAACGCACAGTGGCGCATCTAGAATAAACACCGTTGCAAAAAAAAAAAAATTTGTTGCAAAATCGTTTTAAACTTACTAATTTACTAAACTACTTATCGGACAGAAAATTTTATTTGCTTTCGCAACATACAAAGAAAATGGAATTTAGTTTACTTTCAGGTGATATAACATAAAAAATATATTACCTTATACAGGAAAATTGCTACCTGCTAGGTGTCCGGTATTTTCACCTTTTCCTGGCTAAAGTAGTCTATAATTCAAGCAGCAAAAAGCCGCGACTCTCTATGTCTCTAAAAGATATGGAACCAAGTATTAATAGTCTAGAAATGATTGATCTATTAGAAATTCCCCTACTATAGGTATATTTTTTCTAAAAAGTAGTCAGTGTAGTAAATTATAATAGAATAAAAAAACATGTCATCAAATATATATTTTTTTGTTTGCAATCTATTTTTAGTTAAGAAAATAAATAAAAATAAAGGTTGAAAATTAAATTTAAAAAAAAAATTTTTTTAGAGATTTAATTTAATACTACTAGAGGGTGTTGATACTACGAGAGATGACTTTGTACTTCCTTCGCTAGGGATGCGCAATCTTGCTATGCTCGGGTCTAGTTTGCCGTGGTCGGGGTTCTTTCTAGCTTAGGATAGTACGACACGCTACTACATTTAATTACATAATTACATGATAATCTTTTAATCAAAAAGAGTTACTAAAGGAAAGGATGGATCAAGGTTTATAATATTGATGCACGACGACTCGTGTATAGATGAACAAATGCTTCTGACAGATATTGCGAAGATGAGTATAATCTTTACCCTCCCTATGGTGACAATGTTACTTAAAATTTGGCATTGGCCCTTGGCCAAGGCTCAAAATCTTTACCACATATTAAAGGGTGCTTTCGACATATTTACTCGACAAACCATTATGACTATTCCTAAATTAAAGTTTCATTTCTAAATATATTTATCTCAATTTAATTGCTTCCGCTGTAGGTTACTTTCATTTATAAACAATTAAATCTTAACATAATCTTATTCTCTACATATCCCTATTTCAAAAGTTTTAATCTTTATATATAAAAATGCTCTGTTCGTGTCTACTTCCTTTTTAGACTTGAAAAGTTCTGAACCGATAAAGCCCAAATTTTGACACAACATGCGTTGAGGTTCCAGCTCGGTTATTGTCTACTTTTGATGTTGATAGCTTATCTGCGTTTGCGAATATATCAGTTTTTTCGCGTTTCCCCGTGCCCCTACTGCTGCGCCCTCTACAGGCAGCCAGCTGAATCGAAGCATTTCCTGTCAAACATCCCCAACATATTGAAAAAAGAAATTGGAGATTAAAATTTTATTTTGTTGTTCAGTTTCAGTAAGAAACGAAGTCATGCCACCCAAGAAGTCGAGTTTGGGTCGTCGTACTCGCAATACAGAAGCAAAAAGACGTAAGATTACGAATATGACTGACGAAGAGCGGGCCTCCATCCGAGAGACTGAGCGGCTGAGAGCAATGCAGATGCACAACGCGGAATCAGCAGAAAGACGAGCAGATAGGCTTGAGAGAAAACGATTGAGAGTTAGGCAGTCGCGTTCTGCAGCAATCGATTCGATTCACTCTCAATATAATGAACGCGACAGGGCAAGGGTAGCTGAAGCTTGAATGCTCCAGGAGGAACGGGTAAAACATTTCTCATTACATTGATTCTGGCTACGGTTCGAGCTAACAAGGACATAGCTTTAGCTTTTGCTTCATCTGGAATCGCTGCGACATTGTTACCTAGTGGAGGACTGCTCATTCAGCGCTGAAGTTGCCGTTGAAAATGCAAATCATCGAGACTCCTACGTGCAACATTTCCAGAGCATCTGGCATTGGAAAAGTATTTCAAAGATGTAAACTCATTGTTTGGGATGAATGCACGATGGCACACAAAAAATCGCTGGAGGCTCTCGATCGATCATTGCGGGATTTGCGTGGAGCTGTCCAACCATTTGGGAATGCGCTAATATTGCTCGCAGGGGATTTCAGGCAAAGGTTGCCTGTGATTTCCCGATCGACACCAGCTGACGAGATAAATGCTTGCCTGAAATATTCTATATTGTGGCAAAATGTACGTATATTACAGTTGAAGACAAATATGCGTGTCCAGTTACAGAACGATGACTCAGCCGACGTATTCTCACGACAGCTACTGGACATCGGGAACGGAAAGCTGCCAGTCAATGAGACGTCGAGAAAAATAGTATTGCTCAAGAATTTCTGTAATTTAGTTACATCGAAGGAAGGACTTATCCAAAAAGTGTTCACCGATATCCGAATAAATTATAGGAATCACGATTGGCTCAGTGGACGTGCGATTCTCGCTGCCAAGAACAAATATGTCTACCAGCTCAATCATGTAATCCAATCCAGCATAGAAACTGACGAAATTAGATATCAGTCGATAGATACCGTTGTGGAGACAGAGGAAGCAGTTAATTACCCTATGGAATTTCTAAACTCACTTGATCTGCCTGGAATGCCACCGCACATATTGAAATTAAAAATAGGTGTGCCGATTATCATGCTCCGAAAAATGAATCAGCCAAAACTCTGCAACGGTACGCGACTCGCAGTCAAGAAATTGATGAACAACGTAGTAGAAGCAACGAACATAACTGGTCCTTTCAAAGGTGAAGATGTCCTCATTCCTAGGATTCCTCTGATCCCGACTGATACACCGTTCCTGTTCAAGAGATTGCAGTTTCCCATCCGTTTGGCGTTCGCAATGACCATTAATAAAGCTCAAGGTCAATCTCTGGAGTTGTGTGGTCTAGATTTGGATGCAGATTGTTTTTCACACGGACAATTATATGTTGCGTGTTCCCGTGTCCGAAAACCAGATAGTCTTTATATTTACGCGGAGAATGGAGAAACGAAGAATATTGTATATCCACAAGTATTACAGAATTAAATGAATTTGAAAATTATTCTTTTTGTTTGACTTATTTCTTATGCGTGCAACCACAATATGCCACAGAAAAACGTAGCAGGTTACAGCTAGTTTTATATAAAACAAGTAATTAGATATGAGTATTTAACCATTGAATAAGAACATGATTAATATTAATAATTAGATTAAATAAGTGCAGAATATTTATTTAAATAAGACAGTAGAGCGGCATTTTATAAAATTGATAATAGGTAATTGTTGTTGTTGTTATTTAGTACTCACGACCTTATCATTTCTTTCACTCCATGATACGCGTGTAAAGTTGGCCCCATGTTCACGTTGGCATTGAGAGCTGCTGTTCAAAATGTAAATAAACCTTTTTTAACTGTTCTATACGAATGCCACACTCACGTCAATCTGCGGGGAGTTTACTTTTTAATAAATTGACAAAATGATCCAATATCAAAATCAAAACAAAACGAGAAACATAGCTGGTGTACACGAGGCCATCCTAGCGAGCGTCACCCAGCATTCACTGCGCTCTGAGAAACAATAAGATGGGACTCCGGCCAGATGTTTTTCCAATGTTTTTCCGCCTTCTTGCGGTGATAATACTCAAGTGATAAGGCACTGATCTATGCAGAAACTATCACATAGTTCGGGTTATTGGACCACTCTGGTGCTTTACTGCCCAGTTCGAATTCGCCATGTGGCAGGTTACGTAACCAGCCTTTTGGCCGCTGCCTATGGGTCGTATCTGAACCAGTTAGATATCTGTGTAAAAAAAAACAAAATAATTTTAACTTTCGTTTAAGTCAAATTTACTTATTATATGCACAGTTTCAGTTTTACATCTCCCTCCAATCTTAACGATAGTTTCAGAGATAGAAATATTATATTGTCTCCCCATTTTCATAAAATTACAACCGAAATTCTAGAATAATGCCAAATGGCTATATCTCAAATTTGATGAAAACTGGAGAAGTAATACTTACCTTCTATCAGTCCCAATCCGACTTATGCAGAAGTGAGGTATATAGACGACTAACTGCAAAGCTTATTTTTTGTTATTTTTTTTCAAATGGAATGCATATTATCCGAAAATATTGTGTAAAAATTTCAAGTCAATTCAAAATTTACAAAGTTGTGAGCATTTTTATATCTGCCGGATTTTAGTTTTACATTGGATTTTTTGTGTTTAAAACTTTAAAGCATTTTTCCACAACTCTCACAACTCACAACTCCTGCACCAATCCATTTGAAATTTTAGACACTATTTCTGTACATATTTTTCGAGGTAAAGCTGTCGATTTTTGTTTTTGTTCATAATTTTGAATTCACAATGACAAATTAGACGATTTTGTCCCAAAAATTTGTGTTTTCACTTCAGTCTACGAAACAATTTTTTTTTTATTAAAAAAAAACTCGGCAGCGTTACCTGAGGTAACTATTATTTTGCGAATGAACTTAGATTTTTGGGTTTTAGATGATCCAGCACCGAGCTATGAGGGGCACCCTAATTAAACTTTTTTCGAGACAAGTACGGACAATTGCTATCATTGCCATATTTTTTTTATTTTTTTTTTTGTTAAAATTGATAAGACATTCATCGAATGTTTTACTTTAATGTACATTTCGTTGAGTAAATACATTTTACTGTGTCGTAAGGAAAAAAAATCACAAAAACATGGCTTTTCGTATTATTTGACCTTACCTTACCATTGAGGTCTTTTAAATTCAAACCATTTCTCCCAATTTATTTAAAAAGGTGTATATCTGCTTTTGCGAATATATCAGTTTTTTCGCGTTTCCCCGTGCCCCTACTGCTGCGCCCTCTACAGGCAGCCAGCTGAATCGAAGCATTTCCTGTCAAACATCCCCAACATAATGAAAAAGAAATTGGAGATTAAAATTTATTTTGTTGTTCAGTTTCAGTAAGAAACGAAGTCATGCCACCCAAGAAGTCGAGTTTGGGTCGTCGTACTCGCAATACAGAAGCAAAAAGACGTAAGATTACGAATATGACTGACGAAGAGCGGGCCTCCATCCGAGAGACTGAGCGGCTGAGAGCAATGCAGATGCACAACGCGGAATCAGCAGAAAGACGAGCAGATAGGCTTGAGAGAAAACGATTGAGAGTTAGGCAGTCGCGTTCTGCAGCAATCGATTCGATTCACTCTCAATATAATGAACGCGACAGGGCAAGGGTAGCTGAAGCTTGAATGCTCCAGGAGGAACGGGTAAAACATTTCTCATTACATTGATTCTGGCTACGGTTCGAGCTAACAAGGACATAGCTTTAGCTTTTGCTTCATCTGGAATCGCTGCGACATTGTTTCCTGGTGG